AGTTTGGGTCAGTGCCTCCCACTTCATTTGCACGGCTGTCGCTCAATTCCTCAACTTTAAATCTTTTTAGTTGTGTCTTCCAGTCCTGGGTTTCAGTCCACTAAGTTTCAGGAATTGCAACAATGAGACACCTGCCTTTGGGTTTCAGGTTCCCCCAGTTTATTCCTTGGTGTAGCCTTGGTGTAGAAGCATCTGAGTCCCTTTTGACAGACTCTGTGTTTGGTTTCCACATCCCCTCTTTTGTGTCCAGGTTCTTTTTTGCCCAAAGTTTCAAAAATCTGCTGTATCCACAGCAAGGAGGTTTTGTTCAGGAACTTTTTTTTTTAAGGAACAATTAACGAATGTGAAAGGAACATCTATCAGTTGAGGAGAAACTCTCAGGGCAGGAGGGGAGGGAGGGGAGGGACTCACCCCACTGCACAACAGTTGTGTATACACAGCCAGTCGCACAAAGAGGGTCCCAGATCCAGGCAGCGCCTGATCAGAGCTGAACTCCTGTCCTCTTTTCATGGTTCTCCAGGAAAATTTTGATTTTCTCTTGAATTCCTCCTTCCCCCCCCCCAGCCCTCCACACCCCCCCACACACAAACACACAGAGGAACTTTGTTTCCACAACCCCCAACAGCTGGAGAAGTGCTGGAGTTTCGCTCCCCCCACCCGTCCCCGGCCTGAAGCGCTGGGCTCCCCCGAAGCGGAACCGAGGAACTGGCCCTGATCCACCAGGCAACAAGCCCGGATTCTTCCCCGGGGCAGCTCCGGGACTCTCCCGCTTCTCCCTGTGGCTGAGTCTCCCCCTCGGTCCTTTGTCCTCCCCCTCCCGGAAGAGATTTAGGGGTCCCTCCCGACCCCCGAGGAGACCCCGGACAGCCCAGGGAACAAAACGAGGGAGGGTTGGAGAAACGTCACCTGGGAGACTCGGCTCTCTGCGAGGGACAAAGGGGGGGCTCTGATGCCGGGAAAGGTGGAAGGAGAGAGAGGAAAAGGAGGAGAAGCAGGGAGGGGGAGGGGGATGCTGACGGAGGACCCGTAGGAGTGGGGGGAGGGTCTCCCCAGAAAAAATCTGTCCATGGGGGGATTAAACGTTGACACCAACTTGATGGCACAAACCATCATTAGCCTATCTGGTTAAAGGAGATCTCTGGTCTTTTCTCCACCAGTGAAAGCGCTGAGGATGGTGATGACTAAACCACAGTTCATTTCATGGCTGTTCAAAGTTACAGTGGCACTGAAAAAACTTCACCTTATATTTCTTTTTTTAATTTTTTTATTGTTTTTAATGTTTTAATAATTTCATGTACTGTATATACCTGTGTTTAGCTTTGTGTATCCAACCCAGTCACTTGTTCTGAGATGGGTGGTTATATAAATTTGATAGCTAGATAATATAGCTAGTAAGGGGAGGGGTAGAGATAGATAGAGAGATGTGTGTGAGAGAGAGAGATGTGTGTGTGTGTGTGTGTGTGTGAGAGAGAGAGAGAGATGATAGACAGATAGATAGAGATGGCTAGATAGATAAGATAGATGAGATAGATAGATATGATATGATACGATACGATATGATATGATAGAGAAATGATAGATAGAGAAGATACAGAAAGGGAGACAGAGATAGATAGATAGATAGATAGATAGATAGATAGATAGATAGATAGATAGATAGATAGATAGATAGATTAATTGTGGGGTCCTTGGTGCTCTTTGAGCTGGGTGGTTTTCTTGCAGACGTTTCATGACCCAACTAGGAAACATCATCAGTGCTGGAAGGGAGGAGGAGAAGAAAGGAGGGAAGGAGGGAGGGAGGGAAGGAAGATAGATAGATAGATAGATAGATAAGATATAGAGAGATAATATATAGAGAGATGTAGAGAGAGAGATGATAGAGATAAGAGAGGGAGAGAGGGGAGGGAGGGAGGGAAAGAGGGAGGGAGGGAGAGGGAGAGATTCTGGGATTTCCAGACCGCTTCATCCCAGGACTAGCCTGGACTGGCCTTGCAGAGTTGCTGAGATCAGCCCTGCTGAGGGAGGGATGTTCACCTGCTGACAGGGAGTCTTTCCTCTCCAGATCATCCAAAAAGCCCTTGTGGAAGAGAGAAAATAGCGTATCTGAGACAAGACTCAAATGAAGGAGATGCTTCTTCTTTACCCTTCATATAAAGTGTTTGATTTCATCTTCCAAAATACATTCTCCTTGGGGCACACTGATCAAAATGGGTGAAATAATCAAATTAGTTAATTCCCATTTTAAAAAGCATATTTTCAAACCGGTGCAAACAATGGCAAGAACACTGGATTAAAAAAAACCCATGTAAAACAGAGTTAGGGGGGTCTTATGGGAAACAGAAGGAGACCATTTTTCCTAGGCAGCAAAAGGAGGGAAAGAAAGGGAGCCAATGGATCAGTCTCTAAGGAAGGATTTGGCCCGAAGGCTTTGAATTAAAGTGGTTGGGAGTCTCCTGGCCTTTCTCCACCTTTGATTTCAGTGCCCAGGGGAGACGCCCCAAATGGGAAGCATCCAGAATCTGCTGTGCAAAAATGTAACAGAATAACAGAATAACACAGCTGGAAGGGACCTTGGAGGTCCTCTAGTCTAGCCCCCTGCTCAGGCAGGAGACCCTATACCACCTCAGACAAATGGCTGTCCAGTCTTTTCTTAAAAGCTTCCAGTGATGAAGCCATCACAACTTCCAGAGGCAAGCAGTTCCACTGATTAATTGTTCTCACTGTTAGGAAATTGCTCCTTAAATCCAGATCTTCCATCCGTTGCTTCTCGTCCTGCCTTCAGGGGCTTTGGAGAATAGCTTGACTCCCTCTTCTTTGGGGCAGCCCTTCAAATATTGGAAGACTCGTCCTTCTCTTTGTTAAACTAGACTTACCCAATTCCAGCAACCGTTCTTCGTATGTTTTAGCCTCCAGTCCCCTGATCATCTTTGTTGCTCTTCTCTGCTCTCTTTCCAGAGTCTCAACTTCTTTTTTCGATCATGGCAACCAAAACTGGTTGTGATATTCCAAGTGTGGCCTTACCAAGGCCTTGTAAAGTGCTATTAAAACTTCAGGTGATCTTGATTCTGTCCCTCTGTTAAGGCAGCCTAGGACTCTTAGTGAGATTGGAGTCCAGTGGGGCTGACCCCCTAGTTCCCTTCTCTACTTTATGGGGGACAACGACCCCCTCCTCTCCAGCAGCCCCCCTGAAGGAGAGTCGCCCCTGAGTGTGGCCCACATGGAGCAGCGCAGACAAGGACATGGCAGCCAGGCAGCCTAGACAAGACTCTGCCCTCACACCTCATCATGCACTTGATGCTGCAGGGTGCAGGCAGGTGTGGCTGCCATAGCGCTGCTGAGCTGCCTGGGCGATCTGTGGTGGGCCCTGGAGGTGGTGATTGGTCCTGTGGGCAGATAGGCAGGGGATGGGGTGCAGAGTGGGGGCGGGGCAAGGGGTGGAGCGGGGGCAGGGCCAGTTTTTGGGCACTCGTCTCTAAAAGGTTTGCCATCACTGAAATAGCATATCCATAACATGACTCAAAAGAAGGAGCTGCTTCTTCTTTACCCTTCATATAATGTGTTTGATTTCATCTTCCAAAATACGTTCTCCTTGTGGCACATCGATCAAAATGGGTGAAATAATCAAATTAGTTAATGCCCATTTTAAAAAGTATGCTTTCAAACCGGTGCAAACAATGGCAAGAACACTGGATTTAAAAAAAATATATAAAACAGACTTAGGGGGGTCTTATGTGAAACAGAAGGAGACAATTGTTCCTAGGCAGTAAAAGGAGGGAAAGAAAGGGAGCAAATGGATCAGTCTCTAAGGAAGGATTTGGCCCGAAGGCTTTGAATTAAAGTGGTTGGGAGTCTCCTGGCCTTTCTCCACCTTTGATTTCAGTGCCCAGAGGAGACGCCCAAATGGGAAGAATCCAGAATCTGCTGTGCAAAAATGTAACAGAATAATACAGCTGGAAGGGGCCTTGGAGGTCCTCTAGTCCAGCCCCCTGCCCACAGACGAGACTCTACACCATTTCAGACAAATGGCTGTCCAGTCTCTTCTTAAAAGCCTCCAGTGATGAAGCAATCACAACTTCATGAGGCAAGCAGTTCCACTGATTAATTGTTCTCACTGTTAGGAAATTGCTCCTTAAATCCAGATCTCTCCTTAATAAATTTCCATCCGTTGCTTCTTGTCCTGCCTTCAGGGGCTTTGGAGAATAGCTTAACCCCCTCTTCTTTGTGGCAGCCCCTCAAACAACTTCGATCAGCTATCATGTCACCCCTAGTCCTTCTTTTCTCGAGACTAGACAAACCCAATTTCTCAACCTTTCCTTATGTTTCAGCCTCCACCCCTCCCTAATCATCTTTGTTGCTCCTCTCTGCACTCTTTCTAGAGTCTCAACAACTTTTTTACATCGTGGTGACCAAAACTGGTTGCGATATTCCAAGTGTGGCCTTACCGAGGCCTTGTAAAGTGCTATTAAAACTTCAGGTGATCTTGATCCTCTCCCTCTGTTAAGGCAGCCTAGGACTCTTAGGGAGATTGGAGTCCAGTGGGGCTGACCCCCTAGTTCCCTTCTCTACTTTATGGGGGACAAAGTTGTCTGCTAGGTTCATCAGGAGCCTGCTGGATCTCCCACTAGGCGCAAAAAAATGTGTCCCAGTTGATGTCAGGGTAGTCAAAGTCCCCCATGATTATTTTACTGTGCTTTCTCCATGCCTTAGCTAGTAAAAAGTTCATCTATTTCCTCTGTCTGGTTGGGTGGCCTATAGTATAAACTTAGGCCAGGGGAAGGCACCCTTGGGTCTTTTATGACTCATGGACCTCAACTCCCAGAATTCCAGAGCCAGCATGGCTCAGCTTGGAAACCTCTCCCTTTCCCCTCAGCGTGGCTGGCTCAGGAATTCTGGGAGTTGAGGTCATAAAAGAGCCAAGGTTGCCTACCCCTGCCCTATGCCATTAGAATGAGTCCCAAAGAGGGAGGAGGAGGAAGGCGTTGGGTGCCAAAATGGGGCAGGACCCTCCAGTTGTGAAGCCTCAGGTGCTCCCAAATGGCTCCCCACGTGTGCTTGGGGAGGACTGCTGACCTTCTGGTCCTCAAAGGTAGGCTTGAGGGGAAGCAGAGCAAGGGGGCCTATGAGCAGGAGGGGAGTCCTGTCCCTTCCCCTCCCTGGATCTTCCCACCCTCCTCCCAAACCAGTTTTGACTTCGGACCTGAAGTAGCCGGGATGGTTGATCCAGAGGCAGAGGAGGTGTCAATCTGGGGAGGGAAAGGGGAGAAGGGAGGACCCGACTTGGGGGAGAGAGGAAAGATGAGGAGGAAGAGGAAGGAAGAAGGAATTCCAGGATTTTTCCTACAATGTTTATTCTTTTATAGCAAAGCGAAGGGATTCGGATGAAGAGTAATGAAGATGAAGCTGCTGTGGATTTAAAGCCGGGAGAGATTTAGGTGTCTGGACTGACAAGCAGGTCCAGAGTCCCCGGGGTCAGTCTAGATGGTCTCCACCGCTCCCTCACAAGAAAGAGAGGCCTTCAAAGGAAAGCCAGAGGGGTCTCAGCAGGAAAAGCTCCAGGCTGCCATTCTCCTCCTCCCCCCAATCTAAAATCTTGACCCTCCATTTTTCAGAGGTTGCAAAAGAGAGACAGAAATTCATCAGCTAATGGAAAAAAGCCCCTTCCTTTCCCGCCAGGAAGCAGGAAGGACGGCAGAATTAATTCATGAGTGCTGTAGAAAAAAAGAGATGGGGAGAAAATTAGAAAATAAAGTGAAGCCAGTGTAAATAGCTTATTATTCCTCTCTTTCAGCCACCCCCCCCAGACAGGCCCACATTGCAGGGAGGTGGTTAATGGGTAGGAACAAAGTGAGGGAGTTTCTCCCCCCTTTTTTTTCAGAGAGGAAAAGGATGCAAAGCACCAGCAATTCATCTCCAGAGGCTTATGGAATTTTTCCCAATTGACATAACTGGAGGGTTAATCAAGAAAGGAGGTCTCCCTCCCCCCAGACATTTCATATTAACAAAGAAGATGGGGCCAGGATGGGGAGTGGTAGCAAAGCTGGGTGTCACTTTGCCAGAAATTGTGTGAAATGTCACAAGGAGACTTCCTTCTCTTTTGCAATTACCCAAAACCTGGAAACTTCCTGGGCCAGATTTTAGTGTTTATGTGTGTGTGCTTGTTTTTCATTGCACTGTTTTCAGGTCTCTTTAATGAAAAGCTGCCCAAAATTTAAAAAAATTGTGTTATCCACAGCTAGGAGGTTTTGTTCGGGCACATTTTTCTTTTAAAGGATCAATTAATGAATATTAAAGAAACATCTATAACTTGACGAGAAACTCACCTGCAGGAGGCTGGATGGGAATTGCTGGAATGAGAAAAAGACCCAATCAGGACCCTTTGTGGGATGGAGGACTCAGGGGGGGCCTCCCTATCGATAGCCCATAATAGGTTGCAGGATGCTCATTTATACAATAGACCCTCAAAGAACAGAATTTCCCAAATTTCCAGGGGGGCCTCCTTGCCATCTGCTAAGCTTGCTGAGAGGCCTCCCCTGGATGGTCCCCTCCCCCACAATCTCTTATCCAGCCCCCAGACTCACCTTTCTTGCTCTTCAGGTAGAGGGAGAGCCCCATGGCAAAGAAGATCACCCCGATCACGGCTGCCACGATCCCTGTCCAGAGTTTGCTCCTAGCAGAGTTGGAGGAACGGGGCTCTGGGGAAGGAGAAGGAGCTTCATTGAGTAGGAACATCAGGGCCAGCTTCCCCCCCAGGAAGGTCCATCCCAGCTCCCCCCACAGGGAGGGTCTCTGCCCCTTCTCAGGATAGGAGGGGGTCCCCAGAGGGGGAGGGGAGGGGCTCACCCCACTGGACGGTGATGGGGGCCTCCAGACTGGCATGCTCCACCTGGCAGGTGTAGACGTCCCCCCGCTGGGGCTGGGTCTCCAGCATCACGTGGAGCTGGTAGGTCCAGTCTCCATTCTGGAGCTCCTCCCCGAAGGCCACACCCTCCTTCTCTGGCTGCCCATTCTTCAGCCACCGAACCTCAATCTCCACAGGGTAGAAGCCCCTCACGATGCAGAGGAGGATGGTGTTAGGGGAAGTGGGGTCCAGCTTGGTGGGGGAGATGGAGACGGTGGGCTTGGCTGGAGGGGAGGAGGGGGAGAAGGGACATAGGGGGGGAGACAGAGGAGGGGCCAGAACAGGAGACCAAGTTGGTTAGTTCAGGCCAAGAGCCCTTTTCAGTTTTGAAAATAGTATTTGTTTTAAGTCATTTCCAAAACAAATTGCAGCAAGAAATTAAATGGGATCCTGAAAGATGGAAGAACATAAATCGTTCCTGGCTGGGATCAGTTTCCATCATCAAATTGCACAAGTCCAACAGAAATAAATACTGGAAACGCCCCAAAATGGAAGGAATTTCCTGCCAGATGTGTGGGAGACGGAAAGAGACCCAGAAGATGGGGAAGACACACAGCATGTTTTGGAGAATTGCAGGGATCCCATTCAAAAGAAAACCACATTTTTTAAAAAATAGGTAGAATACCGGAACATTTATTTATTTATTAAATTTGTTTGCCACCATCTCATGATAAAATGACTCTAGGCAGCTTACAGCAGGGCTTTTCAACTGGTGGTATGTGTACCACCTGTGGTACATGAGCACATGACAGATTGTATGCTGCCCTGCCCAGCCAAGTGTAGTGGGGGAATGAACGAGCCAGCACAGGCAAGGACTTACTGTGAGAGAGTCCTCTGGAGCTGCAGAGTGGCTGGGGCGAGGCAAAGGCCCCAGGCTCACTTCCAGCTCACTCCCCTCCCCCATGAGAAAGGAGGAGGAGGGTGCGGAGACAGGAGAGGCTATAAAAGGAGGCAGTTTGGGTCGGGAGAAGGAGAGAGAGAAAAAGAAGCAGCCTTGGGAGGAGGTGGAGTCAGCTCTAGCTGCACAGAATGGAAAGAAGGAGTAGGGTGGGGGGAGGGGAGAGGAGATCAAGCAGGCCGGCCACAAGTGGATCTACAACTTCTGTGGCAGCCACCTGTGCTGGCAGCAACCAAGAGGCAAGGAACATAGGGAGGAGGAGTTGCTCTCCATGAGGAATGAAGAAAGGCAGCAATGAAGAAAGGCAGCAATGAAGAAAGGCAGCACTAGCTGGAGGTGAGACAAGGAGGGAGATGGAGAGTGGAAGGATCCTTTTGTGCTTTTGTGACTTTGAAGTTCTGGGATTTGTGCATTGGGGATTTTGTGTTCTTAAGGAGTGTTTGGCAATTTCTATTTGGCTGATGTCTCATGTTAGCTTCTACTGCTCTGCTATTCTTAGGTGTAAGATTTGCTGCAAGGGATTTTGAAGTATTTTTCTCCTGAATGGATTTTGCCTGTACTTACAAATGGAGACATTTGGGGAGGCTGCCTAACCCAGCAGCCATACTTACTACATGTTTTTTCTTCCTTAAGTACCAACTGCACTCCTTAACTTTCCTTTTTAGCCAGTAGCTAATTCTTAAAGGGGAATGCGCCTTTTTAAGCTAGTTCCCTCAATGGCTTGTCTTTTCTGTCTCTGGCGGCTTTTCCTTGTTCAATGAATATATGGAAGAAGGGAAATTGGGGGAGTCAAATTCGTCCTTCAGAAGGAGATGGGAATGAGAAAGAGGGAGGGAGGGAGGGAAGGAAGTCCCGCCTTAGCACTTGGCCACCAGCAGCCCTGCCAATGACTTTGCTTTTCAAAAGGTTGCAGAAGGGGATCACATGACCCTGGGACACTGTGACCATCGTAAATATGAATCCGTTGCCAAGCATCCAAATATAAATCACATGACCCTGGACATGCTGCAATGGTCATAAGTGTGAAAAATGGTCATAAATCATTTTGATGCAATTGCAACTTTGAACACGGGTTTTTTGGTCATCAAGTGTTTGACACCTTGCTAGGTGGTACTCGAATATTGCCATATATCATAAAAGTGGTACAGTCGCTGAAAAGGTTGAAAAGCCTGGCTTACAGCATTAGAACATTAAAATCATAACAGATAAATATTTCTATAGCAATCAAAATGGAATTCAAGATAAAATTATAGTTAAAAGATGGGGAGGAACAGGAGGTGTGAGGGGGGAGGGGGGATTGCCTCTGAATTCAACAACTACCTCCAGTGTGAGGCTCCCCATGAGGACCCCCTGATTTTGAGCCAGATTTTGCCTAATCTGTACTTGCACCTTTGGTTTTTTCTGCTCAGGTCCCCCCCACAACCTCTCCCTGCAGCTTCCGGCCTCCCTCCCAGCCCCATTTCCCCTGGGGAGGGAGGTGGGGAGGGGTCCCACCCTCCTGCCTGGGATGGGGGGGCAGGGAGGGGTCTAGGACAACTCAGCCAACTCAACACAGCACAAAAGTTACACAATATGGAAGAAATGGAGAAAGAGAATCAGGAAAGGAAGGAGGCTGAGGGAGGAGGAAAATGAAATGTGAAGGACAAAAATTTAAAAAACATTTTTAAAATTATTTTAAATAATTAAATAAAATTGTTGAATTGTCCTGCAGTGAATTGCCCCATTCCAGACAGGGAGGGGGGAAACGATCTGGGGGGGGGATCTTGAGGTAAGGGAAGGTGGGGGCAGTTGGTGGCTGAGGAGATCAGGCAGCTCCCAGGATCACAGAAGAGATCCCTCTTGATCTCCTCCTTCAGAAAATGGCTCAACTCTTGGGTGGATTAATGGGAGGGAGGGCTGAGTGACCCCCCCAAGAGGGTCCTTCTTAGATCCACTCCAGATCAGAGAAATTTTGCTAACAACGTTTCTCTCTCTTGAGGGATTCTCTTATGAACAGCTCATTATATAAAGTTTAAGAACCTGCAATTTTTAAAGGTTTGGTTATTTGTAATTTAATCCTGGGATCTGGTCGGGATTTTTTTATGAACAGTTAATTATCCTCCTAGGTTTGCAGGGAAGAATTTAGGAGAAAAAATGAATTCCAGACTGAATATGCGGAGAACAAAATCTGTGTCGGTTCCCCTTAAATATTCCATAATTTCCGGAAGGAGCAGATGCCCAGCTTCACCTGGTAAAATGCCTTTTTCTCTTGGGATCTGGAGGTTTTTCTCTTGTGGAAGAGAGATCTTATTTAATTCTTTGGTAGCCTATTATTTTGGGAGACCCTGGCAACAATAAATGGCAACAACTGCACATGAAACACTGGTTTTGCACCATGAAACCTTATCAGTTGATAGAAATAAATAATAATAATATAAACAAATAAAACTAGAACAACAAATGTAGGCAATTTGCCAGGAATCTGGAGCAGGGAACTAAACAATCTGAGGCTTCAGGGCTGAACGAATGCCCAAAATTCACTTTTAATGTTTGTGGGGTTTTTTTGAATCTTTGCCCCCAAATGAGGAACCTTCCCAGATACGAAGAGGGAAGCGATTCAGCTGCAGGGGCTTCAGGGGGGGCTTTTCTCCCAGACCCCCAACATTGGATGAACAAATGACTCTGAGTAAAGAATGAAAAGAACTGAAAGAGGGATAGGGCCCAGCAGACAAAAGAGCCTTCCCTGATTCCCTTTTCCAGACCTTTGGAAGTTCACTTTTTATCCTAAAATCCCAAAGGCCCCAGAGCCCCTCCCCCACTCCTGGCCTTCCGGAAAGGGGTCCAAAGGGGGCTCTGGGGCTTTTCTTGGGGGGCACAGAGGGGGAGGCAGCCGTGGGGCTGGTCAGCCTTCTGAAGCCCCCCCCCCCCCTTTTAAGGAATTTTTATCACTGGATTTTAATCATTCCTGCCTTTTAAATCTTAAATTCTATAGATTATTTTGGTGGTTTTATGTTTTATGTGTACACCAAGCAAAGTCCCTCTGTGGGAGAGAGAGACATGGTTTTAAAAGTTGATAAGTAAATCAATAAATATTATTTAATAAAAATATTATATTGAAATATTATATAGCATATAGTGTAGATTATTATTGAAATATATCTATATACTGGGCAAAAGAGACACCTGGCTGGATTCCTCCCCCCCCCCCAGAAAAATATAATATTTGGTATAATGCTGTGGAAAGAAGTTTTTCTGGGCGGGGGAAACTTGGGACCCTGGGAAGAGAAGGAAGATGGTGGGAGGGATGGGAAGGAGAGGCATCTATTCTTTCTCTTTGGCATGTTTCATGGTCATCGTTGTTGAATTTCAAACTTTTTAAAGATAATTTATTTTTTAACCTTATTTTATATACACTTTTATTTAGGGGGGATGTTATATCGTGAACCATCCAGATCCCCCCTTTGAGGGAGGGGGGCGATTTAGGAGTATCAATAAACAGCAATAAATACCAATGAATAAATTTCATAGATCGGAGAGCAGAGAACACATCAGGGGCAAATCTTTCTCCGGGAGAGTCCGAAGAAATGAAAGGAAAAGGGGGGGGTCCCTGCATTTCTCCCCCCCATGGAACTCCCCCTCCCCCACTCACCTCTCCGGCCAATCAGACGCTCCTCCCTCTTGGCCACCTCGTAGTTGTACACCCCGTAGTTGTGCTGGCAGAAGTAATCCACAGCGGCCTTCCGGTCCTGCAGGCGCTGCTTATCCCTGTTGAAAGCCTCCGCATCCCCCTTCCCCAACGCCGTGACGGCCTCGAACTCCCCGCGGGCGCTGTCGAAGCGGAGATACTCCTGCCGGTCGTAGAAGTGCCGCTCCAGGAACCGCACCCGCCGCGTCCCGTTGAAGAAATGGCACTCGCCCTTCGCCTGGTACAGGAAATGGGCTGCGGGGGGGGGGGTGGAGCAGAAAGAAGAGAGCCCTCAGGAGGGACTCCAGGGCCCATGGTTCCCAGCAGGGGCGGAGCGACGGGAAGGTGGAGCGACGGGAGTCCTGCCGCGAGGGACTGCCGGAAGGCGCCCCCTGGAGGAGGGATGGGGAACCGTCGGTCCCAGCGGGATTCCCCCTTGGTGGGGGTCTGGAGGGGGGAGGAAAATGAGGGAGGGGGAAAGAGGGACCCCCCTCCATGTCCCGAAGGTGGAAAAAGGCAGGCAGAAGTTCAGCCGGTCCAGCCCTCCGTCTGTCTGCAGGGAACGCTGGATCCCCCCCCAAAGCGGCAGGAAATATGGGGGGAGGGAAGAGACCCCCCCTCTGGGCTGGAGGGGAAATAATATCCAAGCTTTTCTCTCTCCCCCTCCCTTTTGGGAGCAGAAGGGAAGGGGGGCTCACAAGAAGGATACCCACACCCATGCTCCTGGGCTCTCCCTGCCCTTCCCTTCCCCCCCCATCTTCAGCCCCACAAGCTGCCTTTGGGTGCTTTTCCAGGCCTCTTTTCTGGCCCCCTCCCCCCCGCAGCCCCCCAAGACCACCTCAGAGGGAGGGGCTCCAGCCCCCTTCACTAAAGGGGGAGTCTTCAGGAGCAACTCAGACCCCCCCCCCCAATATCCCTCCCAATAGAGGCGGAGAAGGCGAGGGAGGGGAAGATTTTCAGTCTTGGGGGCTGCAGCTTTAGAGGGGTGTCCAGGGGGGGTTGTGGACTTCCTTTTGCCCCCTCCCATGAATCTGAGCCACAGTCCCCCTTTCTCTTTCTGCCTGGAGGGGTGGACTAGACGCCCCTTTAAGCTCCCTTAAGCCCCTCCCCCACGAGGAGTCCAGGCTGGGTCAGTGGAGACTTCGGAAGGGCCGAGGGGAGCCAGGGGGGTCTCTCCGGAGACCCTCCCTCCCCCTGGTCTCGGTTGGCCCAAAGGGGCTTCTCCAAAAGGTAGCTGGACTTTCCTGGTTCTTCCCTTGAAGACGTTTCGCTTCTCATCCCAGAAGCTTCTTCAGTTCTGACTGAAGGGTGGTGGGTGGAAGGACGGATATTCCTTGCGGTCATTTGGTCATTTTGAAAGCCGGTCCCTGGTTCTCTGAGGGGCCTTAAGGACCCCCAGGGGTTTATCTGGGCCCTCAGTGTCCCCTGAATTGGTGGGGCAAAGGGGTGGGGAGCCTTCCTGGGGCTGCTGAAAGGACCCCGTTGTAGGCAGGAGATGGGGGGGCCCTTTCCCTCCCCCACTCTTTTGAGGGGGGCTGCTCAAGTTTGATCTAGATGGGTTGCGGATCTGGGGATCCTGGGGAGAAGGGAACCCCCAGATTCTCTAGTTACCCCCAAATTTTCTTTCCCACCAACTTCACCCCTACTGGCTGCCTTTACGTGATTTGGAATTAAGCCCTCTTTTCTGTCCCCCTGCAGCCCCCCAAGACCACCTCAAAGGGAGGGTCTCCAGCCCCCCTCACCCAAAAAATCGTTTTGAGTAGCCAATTTAGGGGAGCAATTCAGACCCTCCCAATATCCTTCTCCCTCAGTTCCCCCCTCCCCTCCAGGTCCCAATTCAGCAATGGGGAATATGGGGTGGGGGGTTCCGGGTCTCCTCCCCAAATTCAGTCTCCCCCAAGAAGGAATCCAGCTCAACTCTCCCTTCCCCTTAAAAAATGGAGGTTCAGAAGAAAAACTGAGGGTGCAAAAACACTTTTGCCAAAAAAAATCCTCTTTTTCTTATACTCTTTGCTGGCCTTTGTGGATTCAGCTCTGAAAATGCCTCAGTTTCCCGCTTTCGCTTTCTGTCTTCTTCCTCTTTCAGTGCAAGAAACTTTGGGGCTCAGGCGCTAATTTGGGGTTCGCAAGGTCCCCCTCCCACCCAGCCACGGGGGGGGGGGCGGAGAGGGGGTCCAGTTGCCTCTTATCCCATCTCGGCTGCCTTCTCACGACCCTCGCCCACCTCGGCCATAATTAGGGAACGGGGGCTCCCTCTTCGCCCTGCGGGGAACATGCGGCGAGGGAGGGAGACCACGCGGAGATCGAGGCACCTGCAGTCTCCCGCCTCTCTTGCCTTCGACCTCTTTCCCTACTTCAGGGGTCCCAGCCCCTTTCCCCCCCCCCTCAGGAGCACTGACGGCCGCTCCCAGCCCCTCTCCGAGCCCCCTCCTTACCGGGCGTCTCCTTCCCCCCTTCGCTTCCGGGGATCCGGGCCAGCGCCCCCACCAGCAACAGAAGAGGGACCCCAACGGAGCCCATGGACGCCGCCCCACCAGCCCCCCCAGAGAGCGGGGAGAGAGACGCGGAGGCTCCCAGCCCCAGAGGCGGAATCGGGGGGTCTGGCTTGGGGGAGGGAGGAAGCGGTTTCCTCGGACTTTGGAATTGGGAGGGCCCCGAAAAGCGGAAGGACCAATGGGAATTCTCCCTTCTGCATCGTCATCGGTCTCCGGGCAGAGCCTTCCTTGAGTTCATCCACAGGAGGAGATAGTGCGAAGCCGAGAGAGAAGCGGAGAAAGTTGGAGGGGGGGGGAATCCCTTCAGTCTGGGGGGGGCTGCATTTTAGGGGGGCGTTTCATGCCAGCTCCGGAGAAGAGAAGAAGCGGAACTCGCACGTCCCCTGGTACAGGAAATGAGCTGCGGGGAGGAGGAGGAGGAGGGTCAGGAGGGACTCCAGGGCCCATGGTTCCCAGCCTCCCCTCGAGGAGGGACACAGGCTTGTCAGAGGAGGGGAGGGAAATCTGCCGCAAGAGGCTACCGGAAGGCGCCCCCTGGAGGAGGGATGGGGAACCGTCGGTCCCAGCGAGATTCCCCCTTAGTGGGGGTCGTGGGAGGGGAGGAAAATAAGGGAGGGGGTAGCTTTCTGAGTGCCCCCCCATCTTCCCAGGGTGGAAAAAGGCAGGCAGAAGTTCAGCTGGTCCAGCGGGGAACGTTGGATCTCTTTGCCCCCCCAAACTGACAGGAAATATGGGAGGAGGGAAGAGACCCCCTCTGGGCTGGAAGGGAAAATAATAGCCATGCTTCTCTCTCCCTCTCCCTTTCGGGGGCATAAGAGGCGGGGGTCACAATCAGGATACCCACACCCATGCTCCTGGGCTCTCCCCGCCCTTCAAGCCCCGCCTTCTCTTTTCCTCTCCCCCCCCCCTCGCCCCCATCTTCAGCCCCACAAGCTGCCTTTGGATGCTTTTCGAGGCCTCTTTCCACTGCCCCGCCCCGATAGACCCCCTGCAGACCCCCAAGACCCTCTCAAAGGGAGGGGCTCCAGCCCTCCTCACTAAAGGGACAGTTTTGGGGAGCCCATTTAGGGGAGCAATTTAGAGCCCCCCAATATCCTTCTCCCTCAGTTCCCCCCTCCCCTCCAGGTCCCGATTCAGCAATGGGGAATATGGGGTGGGGGGTTCCGGGTCTCCTCCCCAAATTCAGAGTCTCCCCCCAAGAAGGAATCCAGCTCAACTCTTCCCTCGCCTTAAAAAAAAATGGAGATTCAGAAGAAAAACTGAGGTTGCAAAAACACTTTTGGTGGCTTCTCTGGATTCAGCTCTGAAAATGCCTCAGTTTCCCTCTTTCAGTTTCGCTTCCCGTCTCCTTCCTGGTTCAATGCAAGAAACTTTGGGGCTCAGGCCCTAATTCGGGGTGCTCAAACTCCCCCTCCCACCCAGCCACGGGGGTGAGGGGCGAGAGGGGAGCCCAGCTGCCTCTTATCCCATCTGGCCTGCCTTCCCGCGACCCCCGCCCCACCTGGGCCCCAACAAGGGAAGAGGGGAGGGGGCTCCCTCTCTGTCCTTCGGATGGGAAAATGAGGCGAGGCAGGGGCGGAGACCACGCGGAGATCGAGGCTCCTGCAGCCTACTGCCTCTCTTGCCCTCCACCCCTTTCCCCACTTCTGGAGTTTCAGCCCCTTTCTTACCCCCACCCCCAGGGGCTCTGACGACCCCTCCCAACCCGTCTCCTCCCCCCTATGAGCCCCCTCCTTACCGGGGGTCTCCTTCCCCCCTTCGCTTCCGGGGATCCGGGCCAGCGCCCCCGCCAGCAGCAGCATCAGGGGGAGCCCCGCGGAGCCCATGGACGCCGCCCCATAAGAGACCAGAGACAGAGACGCGGAAGCTTCCAGTCCCAGAGGCGGAATCGGGGGGTCGCGATTGGGGGGAGGGGGCGTTTTCCTCGAACTTTGGAATTGGGAGGGCCCAGAAAAGCAGAGGGACCAATGGGAATTCGCCCTCCTGCCGTGTCATCGGTCTCCGGGCAGAGCCTCCATTGTCTTCACGAGATAGAGAAGATAGTTGGGCGCAGAGAGAGAAGCAGAGAAAGTGGGTGAAAATCCCTTCAGTCGGGGGGGGGCGCAGCTCAAGGGGGGTCTCAGACCAGCCCTGCAGGGGAGTCTGGACTTCCTTTTGCCCTCCCCCCCCGGGTCCTGCCTAGAAGGGCCGGGGGGCTGCAGGGGAGGGCAGAAGGGGAGGGGCAGCCCCGCAGCCACCGAGGACTTGGGGGGTCCCTGAAGCGGCTGACTGGGAGCCTTCACACACGGAGACACGCGTTTCCTGGCCCCCCGTGAAAAAGGAGGCGAAATCCCCGTCCTGGATGGGACTGGCCCTCCCCCCTTCCTGGGGCCAGTCCCCTCCCCCCCTCCTGAAAGCCTCTGCTTGGACCCTTCCCGTTCCCGGCAAAGGGGCTGCCGGAGGGGGGGAGGTTTTGCCCCCAGCGCTGGGGGGGATTTTCACCCCTTGAAATAGGTCGGATTTGGTTGAAGAGGGGCTGTTGTTGATCTCAAGGGGGGGGATCAGAGGGGGGAAAGCGAGAATCCTCCCTTCCTCCCTCTCTCCTTCCTGCCTTCCTTCCTTTTTCTCTCCCTTCCTTCTTTCCTTCCTTCCTCCCTCTCTCCCTCCCTCCCTCTCTCCCTCCCTCCTTCCTTCCTCCCTCTCTCCCTCCCTCCTTCCTTCCTTCCTTCCTTCCTTCCTCCTCACAATTCAAGAATGCCGGTGTTAACTTGGATTGCCAACAGTGTTCTGTCTGTGACAAAACAGAACACAAAATAGCTTTCTCCTTTGAACTGGGGCATTTCCAACCAAATTGCCTCTCCCTCCCTCCCTCCCTCCGTCTCCCTCCCTCCCTTCCTCCCTCCCTCCCTCCCTCCCTTCCTTTTTCTCTCTCCCGGGTGCAGTTTGTGCTCTGACTGGATCTGGATCCATTCCTCCCTTCTCGCTCCGTCGTGGGAAGCGGCCGGGAAGAGGCCTCCCTTTCCTGCTCCGTCCCTGGGAGGGGAACCACTCGCCGCCTCGCTCTGGAGGGGGGGAGGGAAACCCTCCGATTCCCAGGGGGAACTTTTTTCCCAGGAGGGGGGAGGCAAGGAATGGCGACTCCCCCTTGGAAAGACCCCCCTCGGGGAGAGCAGCCTCAGGGGCCCCCGAGAGCCGGTGGGCTCCCCCCATGGGGGGGCTCACTGGAGGCGGGGCATCTGTCTTGGGGGTGGGGGCTTCTCTCGGGATCCCTGAGCGGAGTGGGGGGTGGGAGGGGGGACTGGGACCCCTCAGCCGCCAGAGAGAATCCTTGGGACATCCAGGCTAGGAAGAAGGAGATTGTCCCCTCAGGAAATCGCCCCTCGGCTCTCTTCCAGCGACCCCCTCCCCACCTCAGCCACAGCCAGCAAAGGGAGGGGCCTCTTTCCGTCCTCCTGGGGGGGGAGGATGGGAGGGAGGGGGGGCTCCCGCAGTCTCTCTCGCCCTCCACCCCTCTCCCAAAGTCACGTCTGGGGTCCCAGCCCCTTTTTCTCGCCCTCCCCCAGGAGCGCTGACCTCCGCCCGCCCAGCCCCTCCTGAGCGGGGTTTCCCTTCCCCCCTTCGCTTCCAGGGATCCGGCCCAGCGCCCCCGCCCGGCAGCAGCAGGGAATCCCCGGCGGAGCCCAGGGACGCCCCCGGCCCCAGAGGGGGAATCGGAGGGGGGGGTCTGGAGGGTGGGCGGGGGACTTCAGAACTGGAAGTACCTCCAAGGGGAGGAACCAATGGGAATTCTCCCTCCTGCAGCGTCATCGGTCTCCGGGCAGAGTCCTTTGTGACTTCACCCACCGGCAGACACAGCGAAGGCGATCCAGGGAGGGACGTCTCTCCCCCCCCCCCCATCCTCAGGGAGGACGCCCTGCTCTCCGCCCTCCCTCCCCGGCCCTGGCAACTTTTTTTGGGGGGGGTGATGGATGGGGGGAGAGTTCGTCTGGAGGGGAGCAACCGAGGGGATCAGGGCTCCGTAGAGGGAGGAAGGGAGGAAGGGGCGCTGGGTACGAATGGGGCAGGAGGGACTCAAACGGGCTCCGATCCTGGAGAAAGAGGCCCGGATGAAACCAGGAGAACCTCCAGCTCCAGCAGCTTCCCAGCTACGGAAGAGGCTCTCCGGGGGAAGCAGGAATTGGGGGTCTCCCAGGGGTCCCCTCCCTCTGGCAGGGCTTGGGGAGATGGAGGAGGGGGTCCTGCCCCTTCCCCTCCCTGGGATCTGCCCACCCTCCTCCCGAACCGGTTCTGGCTTCGGACCTAAACTAGCCCGGTTGGTCAATATGGAGGCAGGGGAGGCCTCAATCCGGGGAGGGGGAGGGGAGGAGGGAGGGTCCTCTTGCAGAGGCAAGAAAAAGGAGGCAGAAGAGGGAGGGAGGGAGGAAGGAAGGAAGGAAGGAAGGAAGGAAGGAAGGAAGGAAGGAAGGAAGGAAGGAAGGAAGGGAGAGGGAGGGAGGGAGGGAGGAAGGAAGGAAGGAAGGAAGGAAGGAAGGAAGGAAGGAAGGAAGGAAGGAAGGAACACCAGGTTTTTCTACCATTTAAATTTTATTCTTTTACAGGGAAGGGAAGGGATTCAGAGGAAGAGTAGTGGAGATGAAGCTGCTCTGGGTTCAAAGCCGGAAGAGATTTGGGCTTCTGGACTGACAGGCAGGCCCAGAGTCCCTGGGGTCAGTTTATAGGGAACGGAACAGACAGAATGAACCTGAATGGAACAGAACAGAACAAAATAAAATGCTCCTGATCAAATTAATCATAAAAGGCATGAAGAACAATGAAAGCCCCAACCGCCCTGGTCACAGCCCTTTATTCCCTGAGGCTTTTCAGCTCAGAATCCACACAAATCTCCGAGAGACTCTGAATACGAGGCTACGGCAAAGAATACAGCTTTATGGTTTGATCAAAGAAGAGCGCGATGTCTCAATCTCTTGTCACACGCACAGCGAGACGGAGGAGAAAAGGCACACACATTATCTTTTTTTTTCACTATTAAAGCTAAGGCACTTTCTCAGGCTAACAGGCTGAAAGATTCCTGTTTCGTTTGAATACGTGTTTTCTTTATCTGTCAGGTTAGGTCAATTACAGCTTGTCACAGGCTATGCTTCGAATACACA